CTTTTGACATTTCAATATCAAATTTTAGGTTTATAAAAGCTATAATGGAAAAATTGGACAAACAATCACACTGACATACATCACGCTTTATGTGCTAGAAAAAGCAAGATTGAAAGTTTAAGATCACTTCTTTAAATGGGTGTCGTCCTTGTATAGAGTTGGTCGTACTTGTCCTAGTTGTGTTGTCTGATGGGAGTCCGGATCTTCTGCCATATATTCCTGCGGTGGTTCCTGCCGTGCTAAAAAATGATATCGTTTTTTACCCTTTTTTTTTTTTTTTTCCTCTCGTTTCTTATATGTTGCTTCAGAACTCAAAGAGAACCCTAGTGAGACGAATAGAGAAAAGAGGCTAAACGACGAGGAGAGGAGAGGCAGCGGTGAGGCGAGGGAAAATGACGGCGACAACGACGAAACGACGGCGACGAGGTCCTTTCGTCTTTATTCTCATTTTGATTTGTTGTTGAAACAGATTTTGTGTTTGTTATTCCAAATTTATTCCCAATTTTGTTGCCAATAAATGTTTGTGTTTGTGTTATTCCGAATTTATTCACAATTAATCTGTTCAATTTTTGTTTGTGTTTTATTCCCAATTTACTAGAATAATGACATTACTCACTATTTGACTGTTGAATAATGAGAGATGGTGAGATGTGGAATATAAAATCCTTTAATTTTTTGTTCAATGTTTGAGGCTGCCAGACCAAATTCAGGACTCAACCATTCATTTTCAAAACTATGAATGGTTGAGTCCAGATTAAGGAACCCAGATTAAGGAAGGCCAGATTGATGTATAAATTTATTTTCCAAGGCAGGCTGCTGCTAGGAAACAAACAAAGGACCCCCTTTGAAATTTCTGTTTCCCCTAATTTATGCTCCTATTCTTCCTCTCAGTAAGTAGTAGTTCTGGGTTTTTTTTTTTTTTTTTGTAACTAATTTCTTTATGTTGGTTCATTGTAAATTTACTAAATTGTATGTTTCTAATAATGGGTTTGATTCATTCAGTGTTTTAATCTTTGTGTTCTCAATTTTCAGTTCAAATTCAATTGCGACATAACCCTGTTTTGAGGGACTGTTGTATTCAATTGAAATTACATCTCGATAAGGTGTTTCTTCAGAGATTTTTTGGCTTGCTTGCTTTTTTTCTTTTTTAGTATTTGAAGTGGGTTTGGTTTAACCTGTCATCTTCACAAATTAAGTAATTTCAATTTGCTACTTGATCTAATTATGCCTTCTGTATGGGGGTAAATGTTTTGACAATTTACTAAGTATGTAAGGAAGATGTTATTTTCAACTATGCATGGCATTGCTGCACATGTGACTATAATGACTTTTGAATTTAACAACTAGTCTGGTGCATTTATTTCACTTTAAGTTCTTTATCAAGATTCATAACAACCAGGTGACCTTACTTTCAAAATGCATACATAATTGTATATGTAACAATATTTCCTGAGATAGATGGCATTATGACTGTACATTCAGCTCTATAGACTGAATTTTTTATTTGGAATGTGCAGTTGGATAATTTCAAAAGGCATTATTGTGTTAATGTTGGCTTAATTAGGTAGTGGAGTAAAAACTGATGTGCTGGAAAGTTCAACCAACATATATTCGTTTTCATTCCTAGAAATTTGAAGCTGAAATTATCATATGAGATAGCTTAAAATAGAGTCCTTGGAATTATTTTCTCTTAATTTAGTTTTATGGTTTTGTATTTTTGGTAGATTTGGGCCCTGTAGTTTTTTATGAATTTTGTTTGCAACTGTAATTAACTTAAAGGTGGCCTCTAAACAAAACATGAACTATGTGTATGAACATGAACTATGTATAGATACTGGTTTGAACATGAACTATGTATATGAACTAGGAATGAACATGAACTATGTATATGACTAGGAATGAACATTAAGAATGAACATTAACATGAAAATGACAATGTTTATTAGACAAATGGTTATTATACCAGTGATTAGTGTTTTATTTTACATCTTTGTTTGAATGTTGTCTTAAGTTGTAATGGACTGATTGTATCATAAAATGCTCTTACTAGGATCATGTCAATGGGTTCAAATATTGATGCTGGATATTTGTAAAATAGAAGATGCAATTGTGGAAAAAAAGCTGCAGTGTTCATATCAGAATCAGAGAAAAATCCAGGGAGACTGTATTTCAAGTGTGCAGATAGGATGTGCGAGTACTTTGGGTGGGGAGCGGCTTCAACTGGGAATGCATCAAATATCCAAAGGAAAAGTAAACCTAGTCATATGAAGAATGAAGATGACAGAGGCTATGATTATGATGTTGACAAACTCAATGAAATTATAAATAGATTGGAACAAGTTGAGGCAAACCAAGAAGTTATGAAACTGTTTATGTTCACAACCATAGTGTTAATTGGTTTTACCATGCTAATAGCACTACTGAAGTGAATGTAACCTTTTAGTTTTTTTTTTTTTTTTGGTTTTTTGTTTTTGGTGGATGTATATGGGTTTTGAATGTTGTAAACCTTAAACTATGAATGTTGATATGTAAAACTTAATGGAATTACCTATGTTTGACGAATGTGATGCGCTTCTTTCTTGTTTCTGTGAATGACATTACCTGAAATTACCTATGCTTGACGATTTCATTATTTTATAATGTTGTGGATAGATTTCCTTATTTTGAATTTACCTATGTAAAACTTAACAGATTTCCTTATTTCCTTATAATGTTGTGGACAGATTTTATTATTTTGAATTTACCTGAAATTACCTATGTTTGAAATTACCTATGTTTTGAATTTGTCCACAACATAACACAACTGTCCACAACATAAAAGAAATCTGTCCAAACAAAAGAAATATGTCCAGATTAAAAGAAATCTGTCCACACTATTCCATATTAAAAGAAATCTGTCCAGATTATGTCAAATCTGTCCACAACATTATAAATATGTGCAATACAAAATAACACAACCAAATATGTCCAACATTCATGAGACCAAATCTGTCCAAAATAAAAGAAATCTGTCCAGATTATTCCACATCTGTCCACAACATTATAAACCTGTGCAACACCAAATAACACAACCAAATCTGTCAAACATTCATCTGTCCAACATTCATGAGACCAAATCTGTCCAAAATAAAAGAAATCTGTCCAGATTATGTCCATATCATTCCAAATCTGTCCATAACATTATAAACCTGTGCAACACAAAATGACACAACCCAAATATGTCCAACATACATGACACCAAATCTGTCCAAAATAAAAGAAAACTGTCCAAATCTGTCCAGATCATTATAAATCTGTCCAACACAAATTACATATGTCCAAAACAAATGAAGATAAAATAAACTTCTCAGGGATGTCCATCTACATGACTGTCAGCAGGACTATGTGACGCTTGCGAGAGTTGGACTGCAAAGTTTTCAACACTTGTACCTCGAAGCAACTCCTAAAAAGATCTGTGAGTGGGATACACAGAAGGCATTAATTGAGGCGTGTTATTTCCCTGCAATAGAAGAAACCATCTATTAAACTTTGATTACAATGTACACTACATTTTAAATGTAAACTATGTCACTAATTATAACTCACATCATATGTACCATACGTAAGAGGAGGACCACTTGTACCACCCATAACAACTTAAGGTCGAGGTTGAGATGGAGAAATATAGATATCATGACGATGATCCTAAATACAATCAATATAAAGCATGTAACCAAAATTTTTTAAAAACAAAAGAAACATTATCGAACATTGATATTACCTTATTATAATTAATATTACCTTATTATAATTAATACCCATGACGAAACGAGGTTGTGATTGAGAAAAACTGACACCATGACCATGATCCTAAATACAACCAACATAAAGTATGTAAACAAAATGTTCTACTAAAAAACATGGTCATTATTTAACATTTTCTTAAAAACTTGCACACAAATAAATATTAGAATTACCTGATTAGAATTACTACCCATGATGAAACGAGATTGTGATTGACCTTGGCAAGTATAAATAGTAGCACCCGACTGCATTGCCAGGCAAAGCAATGTAAAAATAACAAAAATTAAATGCCAATCAACCCAATGAAAGGATATAAACTATTAAGTATTACCTGAATAGAATTACCACCCATGACGAAATGAGGTTGTGATTCACCTTGGGAAGTGTAAACAGTACCACCCGACTACATTGCCAAGCAAACCAATTTTAATGAAATTAATTCACAAAACTAACCGTATAAAGACCACATTACTATTAAATATTACCTGAATAGAATTACCACCCATGCCGAAATGAGGCTGAGATTCACATTGGGGAGTATAATCAACGGCACCCTACATACAACGAAAAACCTTAATGAAAGTGGGTCATTACTAAATAAAATCAATGTCTTAGTTTATTAATCTACCATATTTTAATCATATGCAATTTTTCATGTCCAAACCTGAATAGATTGCATCCTTTTCTTCTTTGCAATAGATTTTTCCATCCCGCCTTTGACCCTCCTTCTTCCCTTACTAGTTGACTCTCTTTTCTTAAGTCCCTTAGCTTAGATTGGACAATCTACTTCATCACTCTGTGGGCATGCATTGCTTGACAAATTTCTCAAATTAGTTACCTCCAGTTGACCACAAATGTGGAGACTTAATTTGTCTTCAACCATTACACTCATTTCTTCACCTTTCGAAACTAACAACTGATAAGTTTCTTCACTTTCAGCGACTCTACTCGCTATTGCTCTAAACATGGTCATTAATGACCGATATCGGTCACTTTGATGTAATTTGACATTAGCCTTCACTTCATACCCACGTCTATCTTTCACTCGTTTAGCCTTTGCTTTTTTAGTCCATCCTTTGAATATATACTGTGGAGGAAGTTCCGTTGCATTGAATATATCTCTAAGCACCTTGACACAATGTCGACATAGTATGCCCTTCACTTCAAACTTCTTGCAACTACAACTCAAACAACCCCCTCTATCCATTGTCACAATCTTATCTTTTTTTCCCATCTACCATTGTTCTTATTGTGAATTTGGTGCTCTCACCATCATTAGTAGTGCCTATAATGGATGCTTCAATGGACTGCACATACTCATTTTGGAATTCCTCAAATATTGTTTTCGTGTAAATCTCTGCCACTTGCTTTAACATCACAGTTGGAATTGAAACCCTCGGCAATTTTTGGGACAAATTATACTCGGCTTCCAATTCCTTATACCTCTTCTCATAAAGCACCCTCTCAAAATGCTTGAAGAACTCCATCAAGTTATGGTCACAATTCAGATAATCTTTCAGAAATGTATTAAAGGATTCACTAAGTTGAGTAGTACTCATTCCAGCTGCCCAAGAATTCATAATATATGGCCATCCCCATTTCTCCTTCACGTGAAACGTCTGCTCCAACCAATGATTGTCGAATGCATCATACTTATCAAGCATTTGGTCCCACTGTATTCGAAATTCTTCATCATCATCAATGTCATGCATAAATTTTGAAAACACAGCCTTCACCCCTACATCATCGAAAACAGAAGTTACATAGTTGACAGCATTTTGCATCAAATGCCACGTACAAAGACGATGGTTTGTATCGGGCATGACAATTGGAATGGCCTTAGCCATCGCAGCATCTTGATCTGTGAAAATAGTTTTCGGGGCTTTGTTTGACATTGCCTCCAAAAAAATTTGAAACAACCATGTAAAAGATTCAGCAGTCTCATCATACATCAACGCTGCACCGAATATAACTGTTTCTCGATGATGATTAAATCCAACAAATGATCCAAAAGGTCTATGCTCGTTATTTAGTTTGTAAGTAGTGTCAAATGTCACTACATCACCAAACTGAGCATAGTCCATGATCATTTGAGCATTAGCCCAAAATATATTACTTATCTGCTCATCACAATCTAATTGTACTGCATAAAAAAAAGATGGATTTTTTACAGTTTTCTTACGAAAGTAATGCAACACACTACCCGTTTCCCCATATTCCAAATCTTTTTGTCTCTTCGATCTTAGGTAATTTTTTTGGTCCAATTTGGTGAAACCAAGTGATGCTCTTCCACCAGATTCCCTACCAAATAGTTCATAAGCAGACCTAAGAGGAATTCCAGATTGTGAAGCTAATTCTACTTCAATTGCTTGGGTGGTAGATATTTTTCTTTGGGATGGCAACATATGAATGCAATCTTGAGGCACAAGATCATGATTATCATGTTCAACAAAATCACAAGCAATATATTTTCCTGATATTCTATCTAATTTGATACTAAATCGGGCACCACAACCACATCTTACCTCTTGTCTTGGATTTTTTGACAAGTGGATCTCGTTTGTCAATACCCCAACTTCCCTCTTTGTAACATACAAACGTACGTGATGTTATCTCCTTCGTCTGTCTGTTCTTATTTGCATAGGCCTTCTTAATACTAAAGCCCACCTTTCCCTCATACGTATTGTAAAAGTCATATGCGGCTTGTTCAGAGTCAAATGGCATTCCCACTTTCGGCTTCCAACCACAATCATCAACAATATTATTTTCTACCATTACCTACAATTCATATATATAAACCACATTTATACTTAATTGCAGGTTCATATATATAAACCACATTCATATATATAAATCACATTTACCTACAATTCATATATATAAACCATATAATGGAGGCAAATTATATGAATCCACAACTAAATTTATGAATCTAAAAATAGATCAATGTGATTAACTATATATATAGAACATAAAATTTCATATGAAAAATCTGACTTACTTCGCTGACTGAACCCATTTCAGTTACTGAACCCATTTCATATGAAAAAACTTGAATTAATTGATTTCAAAAATCTGAATTTGAATTAACAGATTAAAATCTGAATCAAATATATTCAAATCAAATTTGAATTAACATGGGTTAATCTGAATCAAATTTGAATCAATTTGAATTAAAATCTGAATCGAATTTGAATTAATCTGAATCAAATTTGAATTAATCTGAATAAAAAATATTAAAATTTGAATTTGAATTAACGGATTAAACCTAGGCAACAAATTAAAATCTGAAATGGGTTAATAAACCATCTATACATATATACATATATATCATAACAAATCTGAAACAAACAATAACAACCATATATGCATATATGCATATATACATATATACATATATATCTATGAATCCCCAACAGATTAAGATTTTAATTTGTGAATCAATAACAACCATCTATGAATCAATCTGAAATAGGTTAAAATCTGAAACAAATCTATACATATATACATATATATATAACAACAATATAACATTTTTCTATGAATCAAACTGAAATGGGTAAATCTGAAACAAATCTATATATATATATAACAGCAAGATGATGAAATACACCTCGATGTCGCGGCAATGTGGCCTTCCCGCCATCGCATCGCCGCCGGACTCACCATCGCGCTGCTCCTCCATCTCTTTCGCGTCAGTGCCTCACTCCACCTTTTGAGTCCCCTCTCACGATGCCTCTATCTCTCTGCTAGGGTTCACTGACTCAGATAGATGGTGCAAAGGCGAAGAAGACGATACAGAGAAAGAGAAAATAATGGGGGAAGGACGACTCAGAGAAAGAAGAAAAGGGGGAAGGACGACTCAGAGAAGAGAAAATGGGCGAAACACGACTCAGAGAAAGAGAAAATGGGGAAGGACGACTTAGAGAAAGAAGAAAGGGGGAAAGGGGGGAAACAGGACTCAGAGAAAGAGAAAATGGGGGAAACAAGGGAAATCTATTTTTTGAAATAAAAAAAAAACGTTTAACACAAAACGACGTTGTTTTGTATAGCACGGCAGGAACCACCGCAGGAATGTATGGCAGAAGATCCAGACTCGTCTGATGGGCCTCCTTGCTTGGATTCGGCCATTGTCAAGCCTTGTTTTGATCTAAGTCTGTAATTTTTGGCTCTCTCCCACATATACAACTTGGAAACAGTGAGTTGGCTTTTGGTTCAATTTCAATATATCAATCACGTAAATTTTATGCACATAATATCACAAATAATAAATAAATTAATAGTCAAAAAACAACAATCTGGGTTGAATAATATTTGCGTGATATAATATTTTTGTGTTGGTAGCCTTGTTGGTTCTATATCCAAATTGATTTTTATTTGGGATAATAATCAATGACTTTATGTGTGTGGTCGTTTGACTAACCTAAACTATCATATACTTGTAATCTCTATCAATATAGTTGGTGTTTGATAACCCATTTCAACACCTAAAGTTGAAGGGTTAATTACATTTTTGCTCCCTTAAGTTTTTTAATTTCTCCACTTTAGTACTTAAAATATTTTTTTTTTCTCACACTTCAACCCCTAACATTTGTTATTTTTTCAATTTACTCTCACAACCAACGTCCGTCCAATTTACAAAAAAATAAAAATAAAAATAACACGTTGATAGCCACATGGCGCCACATGTCGTAAAATGAAAAATTACAATTTGCTCTCGTAAGTTTCATTATTTTCCCACTACGATCCTTAAAGCCTTTGGGTCAACTTTAATCTTAGGCCAACCTCAAGAGGTAAGTCAAGATACTTCAAGGGAAGATGTTGAATTTTGCATTTGAGGAAAGCATCAAAGTTGTTCACCAGATTGTCCTAACATTTGGGACATCTTTAATTTTAGGCTAGCCTCAAGAGATAAGCCAAGATATTTCAAGGGAATATGTTAAATTTTGCATTTAAGGAAAGTAGTAAAGCCGTTTAACAGATTGTCCTCAACAACTACCCCCACAAACCACACTTTCAAGGAAAAGTT